CGCCCCCGCATCTGGCCACGCCCCCGAGGAGCCCGAGGGGGACTGGCGGTTGGCGGAGCCGCGGTGGGCGGGGCTGTGGGCCACGCCCCTCGACGCCAGGGGAGGACCGGCGGTTGGCGGAGCCGCGGTGGGCGGGGCTGTGGGGCGGGGCCCAGAGGTGGGGAGCCGAGAGCCTGGTTCGCTTCTCTGTCCCCCTCCCCGACGCCGCACCCCGGACCTGCGGGGACCCAGCGGTTAGCTCTGGCTTCACCGTCCGCGTCCGCCCGGGGGAGCTGGGCGCCCGGAGGTCTCCGCGTCAGCCGCAGCGGCGGCGGGCTGGGCTGGGGGTCTACTACCTTCCCGGAGGTTCCTTCCCGGTCCCACAGAGATGCCCCCCCACCCCGCGAGCGCGCCGGGGGTGGGGCGAGGTCCCCCGTGGCCCCCGCGCGCCCCCTACGTCCGGGGAGGGCGCCCCGCGGGGCCGGCGAGCTGCTGTCCAGATGCTCGTCGAAGAGAAATGTTTCCAGACGAACTAAAAATACGACGCACAAATAAACCAAGGGAGGGAAAAAATGAAATAAAAATCAAATAAACCCATCGGGTTCCACCGGAGGGGAGACCAGCCCAGCCTCCGGGGCTTTGACCTTTCCACCCCGAGAAACTCGAGGAGGGGGAGGGAAGGCTTGAACAGAAATCAGCCTGGGGAGGCGGGGACCGGGGTGAATCCCGGGAGAACCAGGCCGGGTCGGTTACATCACCTCGCCGGGAAAAGTCTGTAAACACCCAGTGCGCTGCGGCTGGGGACCGCCTGGGCTCCTAGCACGCCCTCGGGTTGAAGACCTGCTCAGCCCTGGTCTGTCTTCGTCCTATAGATGGGGGGAGGGGGAGGACCCCTGTGATTACAGTATTTATGGCAGAGTTGGGTGTGGCACAGCCAGGAGCCCCTGGATTCAATCCAGCAACGCTCTCAAAAGCATCATCATCATCATCATCATCATCATCATTTGGTGCTTGAGCTCAGGGCTTTTGGGAGCCCTCTCCAAGCTTTTGTGCTCAAGGCTGGCACTCTACCACTTGAGCCACAGCTCCACTTACGGAGGTTAATTGGAGATCAGAGTGTCATCAACTTTCTTGCCTGGACTGGCTTCAAAACGGTGATCCTCAGATTTCAGCCTCCTGAGTAGCTGGGATTACAGGTGTGAGCCACAAGCCCCTGACTTAGTGTAAAGACTTGTTAACATCTCCCTTGAACAACTTTAACTTGGTTCTGTGAAGACAGGTTTAATGTGTGAACTGGTAAATAGGGTTTGGGGTGCTGATCTGGTAGAGGTGACTGGAAGGGCCGCTCTGTTGTCACATCACTTTTGACATTTTGTATGATATCTTTTACCAAAACAAATTTAAAATGTTGTAGTTCTGTGGTAGAGTGTTCGCCTGGCACAGGCAAAAGCCCTGTAAAATATATAAAATGAAAAAAATCAGGAAGTAGAACTTTGGCTCAAGTGGTAGATCACTTAACTTTGAGCAAAAACAGCTCAGGGCCAACACACAGGCCCTGAATTCAAGTCCCAGGACACACACTCTCTCTCTCTCTCTCTCTCTCTCTCTCTCTCTCTCACACACACACACACACACACACACACACACACGTTTATCAACAAGAATTTTCCCCCAGTTGGCAATTAAAAACTTAAACCATTTTCACATGAAAGTTCTTGAATTAGGGTGAACGTTGAAACAAATTCCACTTTTTTTTGTTGGTTTTCAAATCAAGAATTGCTTTTGTATAATTCACAAGTGTGGCTTGGTGTCACTCAACAGGCTTATTTTCTACCAGTAGCAGAAGTTGGAGGGTTGTGCCCATTAGAACCCCCCCCCCAACCCCTGCAGCCACTAGGTAAAGGTAGGAGACAGAATACCCAGTAAGAGACAGAATACCCAGTAAGCCCTGCCCCGCCCATGCAAACCAATGTTGGCAAGGCACTACCTGGTGCTCTGTGCATGGACTGTCAGCATTCCCTGGCGATCACGTGGTCACAGTCTTGTCCACACTGGGAAGATGCCCAGCATCCTTTCTCAGTGTCCAGGTACATGCCCCCTAGCTGGGATCTGTGCCAGTGCGACTTGTGATAGGCGTGCTTTGTTTCTGTGACAGCATGGGACTTGAACTTATTTTTCTGAATTTCCTTCAACGAATGTACTAAAACGTTATACTTAGGACATAAATGCCACAGTTGATGGGAAGGAAGTAGAGGTAGGTGGGGCTTTGTGCTGCAGGGCAGCTTTTACCGCTCCTCTCGCATCAAACCTTGACTTCATTATCTCACTAAGGTCCTTCTGGCTAGAGGAAGCTCTCCATTTCACAGGGGAAATTAAATCATTGTTTTGAACTCCAAAACATTTTCATTTTCATGGCTGTATCACAAATTGTCTCCCAATTGGTGGCTTCAGACAATAATGGTTTTGCTCAAAGATGTGGAAAGAGTTCTGTGGGGGAAATCTCCTTTTCAAATCCACAGTAATAAAAAACAAAAGGGTGGAGGGAGAGAGGAAGAGAGGAAGGAAGGAAGAAAGGAAGGAAGGAAGGAGGGAAGGAGGGAAGGAAAGGAGGAAGGGAGGGAAGGAAAGGAGGGAAGGAAAGGAGGGAGAAAAGAAGGGAGGTTGCGAAGGAGGGAGAGAGAGAAGAGGGAAGAAAGAGAAAGGAATGAAGGAGAGAAGAAAAGGGAAGGAGGGAGGGAAATAAAGCTGAAACCTAGGAAGTGGTGCTGTGGCTCAAGTGGTAGAGCGCTAGCCTTGAGCTGAAGAGCCCAGGGACAGCGCCCAGGCCCAGGGTTCAAGCCCCACAACCAACCAAAAGAAAAAACTGAAATCTAGAGGATCATGGTTCCAAATCAGGCTGGTAAAAAAAAAAAGTTTGGGAGATTTCACCTCACTAGAAGAAGTTGGACATGGTGGCTTAAGCATTCCTTTAATCATCCATACAAACAAACGATGCCTTAGAATTATGGAAATTCTTCTCGGAGGTCAATGTGGGTGGCGGTGTTCTGAGGACGGAGGTAGAAGGCTCTTTCTTTCCCTGGCACTGCACATTCTTTTCTCTGAATGAGCAGCTCTGTGGATGGCCTCTCCCTCGGACTCCTGTCTTTGCCCATGCACACGATTTAGGGGTGAGTGTTCCTCATCCAGGGATTTGTGACCTCTGCTGCACAGGGTTTTTCTGGTTGAACATTCTGATCTGACCACCTGAAGTCTTGAAGTTGTTTGGGCACCGATGCTCTTTCAGGTCTCGTAGACTCTCGTCGGTCAGGTTGGGGTAGTGAACCTGACTGCAAGGGGCAGAGTGGGGACGCCCATCTTCTGTTGGGTTAGACGTGAGGAAACCTGGCCCTGCATTGGTGGCTCACACCTGTAATCCTTGCCACTCAGGTGTCATACTACTGAGTATCATGGCTCAAATCCAGCCTGGGCAGGCCAAAAAAATCGAGACGCTTAGTTCCAACGAATCAGCAAAAAGCCGGAAGTGATGGTGTGACTCAAATGGTAGAGTACCAGCCTTGAGTAGAAAAAAATCTCAGCAAGAATGTGAAGCCCTGAGTTCAAGTCCCAGCACAGATACAAGGGGAAGCTGATGCCCACGGGGCTCCCAGCCCAGCTCTGGTCCTGCACTGCCAGAGGCAGAGGTGCTCCAGCCAAGAACAGAGAGTCCCAGCGATCTTCAGATCTCAGCTCCTGAGTAGCTAGGATTGTAAGTGTGAGCCCCTGGTGCCAGCCTCATTTGTACTTTTTTATTTCTCACATACTGGTGTTTTATGATAACTCACTCAGCAGAACAACAGAACGGGCTGAGAGCGAATCAATCGCTAATGATTCATCATCAGGGATTAATTAAATATAAAGTAAGCACAAGTCATTTGGGGGTCATTTGTCTATTTTTATTAAGTTTTCCAGTGGTCATAGAAAGTAAAAGGCAGTCAGGGTTTAGCTCAATAGCAGAGTTCTTGCTTAGCATATACAAAACCCCTAGGCAGCTGGTGCTTTACTACTTAAGCCACATCCCCATTCCTTTATGCTTTTGCTACCTCCTGCCTAGCTGAGATGAGAAACACACGCCACCATACCTAGCTTTTTTGTCGAGCTGGGGGGTGGGGGCAGGGGCTGTGTCTCTCAAACGTTTTGCCTGGACTGGCCTCAAACTGCTATCCTCCCGACCTCCACCTACCGAGTAACTGGGATTACAGGCATGAGATTCCTGAGTAGCAGCTATGAGAAGGCTCAGACGACCTCTTCTGCAGGTGCAGTAGTTTCATCCCCTGTCCCAGAAGCCAACACAGGTCCCACAGACAAACTCCTTTGCCTCACTTTCGACCAGCATCAGAGAACCACATTTATTTATTTATTTATTTAGTCAGTTGTGGGGCTTGAACTCCAGGCTTGGGCACTGTCCTTGTGCTCTTCAGCTCAAGGCTCTACCGCTTGAGCCACAGCGCTACTTCCAGAGAACCACAATTATTCTTACATGGATGGCTGGAAATTGGGCCATTCAAAGCAAAGCCTTCAGAGCCAGGCATAGCGATGCTCATTTGTAATCCTAGAACCCCAGGGACAGAGGTTGGAGGATCATGACTTTGAGCTCAGCCTGCGCTGCATAGCAAGACCCTAGTTACAAAAAGCTAAAAACACGGGCTGGAAAGGTGGCTCAGTGGTAGAATGCTTGCCTCGCATGCGTGAGGTCCTGGGTTCAATTCTTCAGTACCATGTACACAAAAAAAGCCGGAAGTGGTGCTGTGGCTCAAGTGGTAAAGCACTAAGCCTTGAATTGAAGAGCTGGGGGACAGTGCCCAGGCCCAGAGTTCAAGCCCCGTGACCAAAACACACACACACACACACACATAGAGGCCTTGGTGGCATGCTACTAGCTGTGATGCAGGGTAGGGGAACATTTTGGGAGACCACAGGACACAGCCTTGATTTGGACCTTGATTGTCCCCGAAGGGCGGTTGTCAGGTTGTGGCATTATGGGAAAATGGTGGAACCTTCAGAAGGTGGAGCCTCCAGGAAGAAGTTAGGTCACTGGGGTATGTCCTTGAAGTTTATTGGGGGGGGGGTGAATTGGGCCCCTTCTCCCATCCCTTCCCTCCTATTCCCCCCCCCTTTTCCCCCTCCCTCCTTTTCCCCTCCTCTTCCCCTCCCCATCTGGTCCCTCTCCCTCCTCCTCTTCCTCCCCCTCCCTTCTCCCTCCCTCCCTCCCTCTGTGTGTTAGTGTACATGTGCGTGCATGCGTGTGTGTGTGTGTGTGTGTGTGTGTGTGTGTGTGCTGGCCTTGCTGAAGGCCCAGAAGCAACGAGGCTAGAAACTTCTAAAACTGTATGTCAAAATAAATCTTCCTGGAAGTGGATCTGTGGCTCAAAGTGGTAGAACACTGGCCTTGAGCAAAAAGCTCAGGGGCAGCACCCAGGCCCTGAGTTCAAGCCCTACAACCACCAAAATAATAATAGTAATAATAAATAAAATAAATCTTCCTTATAAGCTGATTATCTTGGGCATTTCGTCTCAGTGACAGTGTTATATGGGAATCTGGTCAGCGAGATACGGAGAAGCCACACACTTTAAGAGGTGGAATTGGGTGTCATAATTGGAAAGCCGGCATCTGCAAGCAGACTCATGTCCCCAAAACTTGCTGCCCTGAATGTAGCTAGCACAAAACTTATATAGGCCCAAACCACATATGGTATGAGGAATTAAACCTAACAAAAGTGTTTTATATAAATAAGGCAAACCAGGTGAGAAACAGGTAAGAATTCCCTGGAGCAAGACTTTTCTGGAGCTAAACAATGTGACACATCTGCAGTTCAAAGAATGACCTATTTCATCCTCTATTAAGGTGCCAAGAGTCACTGAGGACAAAAATGGCATTACTGAGACTCGGTATCCATATCTCAACTAGAAGATTATGAACACTCTTACCTTAAATATATATATATATATATATATATATATATGCAAGATCATTAACAGTCCTTCAATGCTTAATATTCTTTGGTTTAGTCAATGGACCTCTATTTTCACCACCTAAAAATAAATTCTGGGGCTGGAGGGATGACTCAAGTGGTACTCACTTAAAAATAAATTCTGAAGCCGGATGTGGCCATGCATGTCTATATTCACTGCACTCGAGAGGCTGAATGAGAGGACTGAAGTCACTCTGGGTCACATAGCAAGACACGAATTCTGGGGCCAGGGACCTAGCTCAACCGTGGAGTCTGTTTTAGGACATATGAGGTCCTGGGTTCAGTCTCCAGCACCACATAAAAAGTTCTAACATGACCAGGCCTTTTAGCAAGTCAGGCCTCGGCTGATCCTAAAGGGGTTTCAGAATCTCACCCACCTAGAATGGAACGGTTGAGCTACCATATTGTCTGAGACTCCTGTATAATGGATTTTTTAAAGTATATTTTTGTTATCTTTGAGTAGTTGTGCAAAGGAGTTACATTCCACAAATCAATGTATGAACCCAACGCATCTGGATCAATGTCACCCCTTTTATCGTTCTTCCCCATATATATGAATTTAAGACTTAATGTTTGGGTTTGACATTGGGAATCAAACCCAGGGCCTCCCCTGTGCTAAGCAACCAGTCTACCACTGAACTAACCTCCAACCCCTGCATTCTCTCTTTATAGTTTTTTTTTTTTTTTTTTGTCGGTCGTGGGGCTTGAACTCTGGGCCTGGGCACTGTCCCTCAGCTCTTCAGCTCAAGGCGAGCGCTCTACCACT